AAAGTACTAAAAACCGACCAAGCTCGCCGATAAGAGGCACGAGAGCCCTCAAACAAAGCCGAGCGTAAGAGAAAACCTAAGTTAGAGACCAACTCTTCGGCAGAAGGTTCGCGGGTATCGCCGTAGCGCACTCGTCCGCGTCGGGCATGAGCTGTTTGAATTTGTCCAGCTGTAAGCGGGAAATTAAATCGGCCCGACTATTACTTAAACCTGGCACATGTTGTGCTCGAAATAAGATATTATGGCGTGAACAACTCAATACGAAGTCACGTGTCAACACCATAATTATCTTATCCTTTGAGGTCTGTCGATTAATTATTTCAACCACGGCTGCGTTGTCAGTGAAAAACGTAACGCACTTATTAGCCATATTTGACCCCCAGATATGTATGGCAATAACAATAGGAAAGAATTCTAGAAATGCGATGTTAAAGGATTTCCAAGAAGCCGGCCAAGCGCCGCAAAACCAATGTTTACCAAAGATAGCCCCGTAACCTAGTGATGCCGCGGCATCTGTGTATAGTTCGAGGGTAGAAGACGTCCCCCATTTTTCCTCCAGAAAAAACGATTTGCCGTTGTAGACGTCCAGAAATTTACACCACGTGATAATATCTTTTTTGATTTCCTGAGTTAAACGAATATGATGATAGGGATTAAGGCGACCCTTGGTAAGATCAATCATGCGGCGCAGGAAAGCGCGACCTGGAACGATCACAGAGCAAGTAAAATTTAAAAGGCCTAATAAGGATTGTAATTCCCTTAGCGTTACTGACCGCTTTTTATAAAACGAACGAAGAGGAGTGTGACATTTTCGAAGCTTATCATCAGGTAATCGGGTCTCGCCTTTGACAGAATCTAAAGTAATACCCGTGAATTGTAGAGCTGTCTCAGGGCCCACCGTTTTCTGTGGAGCTAATGGGACTCCAAGGTAATTGCACATGCCCATGAAATTATTGAGTTCTGTACGACACTTATCCTCGGTAGGTGCAATGAATAAGAAATCGTCTAAAACATGTAACACAGCCGACGCACCGAGACGTGTTAACRAGAGCCATTCTAGAGATGTACTGAAAGCTTCAAAAATGGCACAGGAAGAAGAGCAACCCATAGGTAGACATTTGTCAAAATAATACATGCCATCCCACTTGAGCCCCAGCAAAGGATAGTCAGTAGGATGAATTGGAATAATCCGAAAAGCTAACTTAATATCAGTTTTCGCCATAAAACAGCCTGCCCCCAAACGTTTAATGGCAGAAATTGCCTGACCGATTGAAGCATATTGTACCGAGGAATAAAATTTGGGAATAAAATCATTAACTGAAGAGCCTTTAGGATATGATAAATAGTGTATTAAACGAAATTTACCAGGAACTTTCTTGGGGACTACACCCATGGGCGAAGTCCGAAAATTAGAGAATGGAGGCACCGAGAAAGGCCCAACAATTCTGCCGGTTTCGCATTCCTTACGCAACTTAGATAAGGTGACTTCCGGTTGCTCAAGAGCGCTCTTGAGATTCGGTGAGATGAAAGATAAGCGTTTACCCAGAAAATTAATACGAAAACCGAAACGAAAACCGTTGCACAAGTAAAACTTCAAAGGTCGTGGATATCCGTCCAAGAGATTTTCAAGCCTTGCCACCTTTATTGGTGCTACTGGCTGGGTGTGAAGGAGAACGTTTGTCGTTGGTACAATTGCTGGCGGAGTGTTTTCCACCGCATCTGCAACAAACGTGCTCATACTGACACCCTTTACAAAATTTTCCGCTCTGAAATGCCCAACACGTTCCCTTGGGGAAAGGGGGGGGGGGGGTTGGT